CTCCAAATTGTTGATTTGAGTCCCAGTTTCCTTCCCTTTACTGTTGGTTCCCTGTATATTTTTCTTTATTTCACTTTGCATAGCTGAGGTGGGGAGTGTGGACGCTGAACCTGAGGGTCCCTGTTTGGGCGCCAGCTGAAGAAGGGAACGTGGACTCTGATCCTGCAGAGCCCGTCCCAAGATCATCACAGATGGGGGAAATAAAATAAGTCATTCCAGACACTTCTCTGTCTGCCAGGAGAGGGGTGGCACTTCCCTCTAGTGGAGAAGGTCCCAAGCCCCTGTGTCCAAAGGTTTTTATTGAATGGGTTATTAGTGGTGCTAGATAGTAGGGATGTACAGGTGATCTCATTATATTAGTATGTTAATGTTTACAGAGAATAGATGATGTTTTGAAGAAAACAAATGGCAGGAACACACCGATTTACATGGGTCTGAGAGGAGATGAGTAAACATGAGTGTAAACATAAGAGTGCCAAAGGGTTTAGGGTCAGGGTCTGTGAAAAATGTAAATTTCCTTCTTAGCATGAGCTGGTTATCATAGCTTTTGAGGGAAAAACAAAGCATGCTTCACGGCATTTACTTCTAGGCCTGATTTCCCCTGGGAACCACCTGATCCAGTTTGGGGCTGTCACCAGTATTGTTTCAAACCTGAGCCAGGCGGTGGGATCAGAGCCACCAAAAGATGAGGAGACTTCTTTCAGATAGAATGAGGACCCCAGCCATATCAAAGCCAAGGGGTGAGGGTCTTTTTGCCCTTTCTCCATGTCCTCCAAGTTCTTCCCTGATGCCCATTGCTGCTATGCTTGTCTTAGGTTGCCCCTTCCATCAATGGGTCTTACCTGTCATTGACTAACCAGCCATCCTCCAGGGCCAAGCAGGGTGATGTGAGGGAGGCAGGGGCTGCACCCCTGCCAGGGAGACAGGTTTTATCTCTTCAGTGGCCTATTTTCCCAAGGTCTCCTTGATTAGCCTCAGCCTCGGGGCTCTCTTGCCTGTCAGCGGGGCTATATTTCCTGAAACCAGATAGGACGTTTCCCAACACATAGCCTTCACTTTTTCCTCCATTTTGCAACCATACTCCACCATTTCTGTGAGCATCCTGATTACCAGTGTTTTGAACTGTGCATCTGATAGATTGGCTATTTCTTTGTTGTTTAGTTGTATTTTTGGAGTTTTGATCTGTTCTTTCATTGGGCCATATTTGTTTGTCTCAGCATGCCTGTTATGTTGGAAAGGGTGAAGCCTTAAGTATTCGCCAGGGTGGGGCAACCCAGGTCGCTGCATTGTGACGGTGTATGTGGGGGAGGAGTCCGAGAGGAAACAGTGCAGTTTGCTCTGCTCTCAGCAGGTTTTCAGGCACTTCTCTCACTCCCTACCCCCAAGCAAATTTGGCCCTTCTAGTGCTGATTCCTGGGTGAGTGGATTTGTGTATATTCTTGGACCCTGTGGGTCTCTCCTGCGAATTCTCCTGTGAGGCTGGGAGTTTCTACCACCACTGCATCCCCCATAGATTTTTACAGCCAGAGGTTCTGAGGCTTTCTTTTCCCACACTGGAACCCTGGATTGCGTGGTCTGTCTCATTCCCCAACTGTTCCTCTGGTTTATCTGCATGCAAATGTGGGAACTCCCGGTCCGCCAGCCACCACCTTGCCGAGCGTTGTCTCCGCCCCTCCTACCAGTCTGGATGAATGTTTCCTCTTTAACTCCTTGGTTGTCAGACTTCCACACAGTATGACTTTCTGGCAGTTCTGGTTATTTTTTGTTTCCAAATATGTTGTTGTCCTTCTTCTTTTGGTTGTGCGAGGAGGCAAAGCATATCTAACTAAGCCTCCATCCTGGCCAGAAGTTAAGTTGCTATGAACAATCATGTACTGGCTCTTATATAAACACAGTTTTTACACCAGCCTTGCATAATCAGGATAATCTCAATTTGACCCTGGTATATTATCCCTCTTATAAATTGTTGGATTCAATTAATGTTTCGCTGAGGATTTTTGCACATGTCTTCATGAGAAATATTGGTCTATAATTTTCTTGTAATATCTTTGTGTGGTTTTGGTATAAGAATAATACTGGCCTCATAAAATGAATTGGAAGTACTCTTTCCTCTTATTTTCTGGAGCAGATTTTGTAAAACTGATATTATTTCTTCTTAAATATTTAGTAGAATTAGCCAGTGAAGCCTTCTGGGTTTGGAGGTTTCTTTGTAGGAAGATTTTTAACTACAAATTTGATCTTTTTTAAAAAAGATTTTATTTATTTTCAGAGAGTAAAGGGGAGGGAGAAAGAGAGAGGGATATCAATGTGCGAGAGAGACATCAATTGGTTGCCTCTTGCACACGCCCAACTGGTGACCTCGCCTGCAGCCCAGGTATGCGCCCTGACCAGGAATCAAACCCACGAACTTTTGGTTCACAGGCCAGAGCTCAATGTACTGAGCCACACCAGCTGGGGCTTAACTACAAATTTAATCTTTTTAATAAAATAGATCTATTCAAATTATCAAGTTGTTGAGAAGTTTCTATAATCTAAGGAATTGGTCAATCTCATTCATCTAAATTGTCAAATTTATGTGCATTAAATTCTTTAAAATAATTCTTCATTATCCTTTCACTATCTGTAGGGTCTGAAATAATGTTTTCTCATTCTTATTATTGATACATTAGGTACTCTCTTTTTTTGTTAGTCTTGTTAAAGGTTTATCAATCTTAGTAATTTTTTCAAAGGATCAAACTTTTGATTTCATTGATACTCTCATTGTTTTCCTCCCTTCAGCTGAGTTCTGCTTTTATCTTGATTATATCTTTCTACCAGCTTGCCTTGGATTTAATTTTCTTTTCTTCTCCTGTCTTTATTTTTAATCCTCACCTGAGGATATATTTATTGATTTGACAACAAGAGAGAAATATCAATGTGAGAGAGGAATATCAATAGGTTGCCTCCTGTACACACCCCAACTGAGGATGGAACCAGCGACCCAGGCACTGCCCTGACCTAGAATCATCCAGCAACTGGTCACTTTGCGGACAATGCCCAACCAACTAAGCCACACAGGTCAGGGCAAATCTACCTACTTTTTAAACGTTGAATATTATTCTCAACCTGGCTGGTGTGGCTCAGTGGATTGAGCACTGGCCTGTGAACCAAAAGGTCGTTGGTTTGATTCCCTGTCAGGGCACATGACTGGGTTGCTGGCCAAGTCCCCGGTTAGGGGTGTGCAAGTTGGGGGCGTGCAAGAGACAATTGGCAGCCTGTCAGTGTTTCTCGATCTCTCCCTCTTTCTCCCTCCCTTCCCTTCTCTCTAAAAATAAATAAATAAAATCTTTTAAAAAATAAACGTTGAATATTGTTCTTTATAGTTTATTTCACTTCTCCACAAAGGGCATTCAAACCAATTCAGGTTTCTCTTCTTATAAATAATTGTGAGATAATCTTCCCTCCTATGCATCTTTTTATGCACATGAGCAAGTATTTGTTTGAGATGGAGCCCCACAAGTGGAATTTCCAATCTAATGCATGAAATATGGCAACTCATTGTTTGGTGTTTTTCTGATTATTAGAGAAGTTGAGCATCTTTTGTTAATGTTTATTAGCCATTCAGATTTTCTTTTCTTTGTATTGTCTATTCATTTTCTTTGCCCATTTCTTATTAAATTATAATTTTTTACTGGTTTATAAGAGTTCTTTATTCTGATTATTCTTTGTTGAGTATGTAGCAAATATTTAATACCAGCTTTTTGCTTGTAAAAGAACTTTGGCCCTGGCTGATGTGGCTCAGTGGATCAAGTGCTGGCCTGCAATCAAAGGGTTGCTGGTTCGATTCCCAGTCAGGGCACATGCCTGGGTTGCAGGCCTGGTCCCCAGTAGGGGCGCGTGAGAGGCAACCGCACATTGATGTTTCTCTCCCTCTCTTTCTCCCTTCCTTCCTCCTCCAGTTCTCTCACCCCACCCCAAAAAAGAACTCTGTTGCCTTGGCCAGGTAGCTCAGTTGGTTAGAGCCTTGGCTCTATATGCCAAAGTTGCAGGCTGGATCCCCAGTACAGCACATAGAAGAATTAAACAATGAATGAATAAATAAGAACAAACCGATGTTTCTCTCTCTCATATCAATAAATTAAAAAAAAAGAATTTTGTTTACGGTGTCATGGTACATGTAAGAGTTTGCAGTTTGTTTTAATTTTAGTCCCTGCTTTTGAGTCCTTAAGAGGCAGAATAGTTTAGAGTAGCTCAAAGTACTCGGTCTGAATTCAGGAGTTCTAGGTTCCAATCCCATCTCTCTCTCTCTTTTTTAAAATTATTGAATTTATTGGGGCGTCTTGGTTAATAAAATTATATAGGTTTCAGGGGAACCATCTCTGCTTTTGGCGAACAGCAGCAGCCAGTGGGCAACCTGGCTGGTGTGAAAGCCCTTTATTTTGTGGAGAAAAGGAAAAATAATGCCTCTCTCCTTTATTGTGAGGATTTAACCCGATGGAGTGTATAAAAGGACCTGAACATGATAAAGAGCTCAATGATAATAATGATAGCTAACCGTTACTAATATAATGAATGACATTTTGGACATTCGGAACACGATAGGCCAAAAAGTGACTTACCTAATGATTAAACTCAAAGGCGACCAAGCTTTAATAGGAAGAACTCAGGTGAGGAGTTGTCTCTTTCCCCTTAAGTTCTGCCCCCTAGGATTCCACCCCCGTCCCCGGGTTTCGGACGCTGCTTGGCCCTCAGAGGGAAACTCAATGCCTGAAGAGTGGACCTTGCGTGTGACAGGCGCCGTGACGCAGGAGGGGCGGATTTGAGAAGCAGGATGCTTCGGGATAGGGTTATAGGTTCGCGCGGAAGGGGCGGGGCAATTCAGGGGCGGGGTTTAACGGGAGCTGGTCTTTGGGCCGGGCTTCCGCGTGCGTTTGTCTCGCTGAAGGGAGCCGCTGGGGGCGGCCCCGGCGGGCGGGGCGGGGCCAACTGGGGGGCGGGGCGGCGCGCGGCCTAACGGCGGTGGTACCAACCCCTGAAGCTGTTGCGCTGGGGTTGGCGAGCTTGGCGGCTACAGGTCCCGCGGCGGCGTCTGTGGGGGACCCTGGCCGCGGGCTGAGGCGGGAGGCTCGCGACCGAGGCACTTGGCGATGGTGGGCGTCCCTGGAGCGGCCGCCTTCCAGCGTAAGTGGGGCGGGAAGGCGGACGGCTGAAGGGGGCGTGTGAGAGGCCTGCGGCTCCACGGGCGCGAGCCCCGGAGAGGCCCCCGACGCGAGGCAGGGGTGGGGAAACTGAGGCCAGAAGCAGAGCGGGCGGATCCAAGGTCATGCGGCGGGCAGGGCCTTCTTGGGCTCCTGAGGCTGCCCAGGCGTTTCCTTCGCGGTCCGGAGGACTTGTGGGCTCTACGGTGTGAGAGAAACTGTGGGCACCGCGGCCTCGGAGCCCAGGCCGAGCCGGCGTCCATCGTACTTGCCCGCAGGCAAGAATTGTTTTGTTCTCCCAGCGCTGTGGCCACTAAGTCGGGATCCCGGGAAAATATTAACACACTCCTAATTTCGAGGGGTATGTGTCCGATTGTGGAGGAGGCGAAGATGGCTCCTGTGAGGGGCCTGTTGAGTGCAGGCTCAGAGGTCGGACTGCCCGGATTCACATCACGGCTCCCCCACTTAAGTGGATCTCTACGAGCCTCACTTCTCCCATCTGTAAAATGGGGGCGTGAAGATCATCTCCACTACCCCATCCTCCTCCCACCCCCCGTTTTTTGGGTTTTGTGAAGCCAGTAGAATGCCTGGCACAGACTCTGGCACGTACAGAAACGTCAAAACTGTCATTGTAATCGCTAATAAACCTTATCCAGGGTGAACCTCACTTGGAAAAGCCCGACGTTGAGCTGTTGTTGTTTATTTAAGATTTTATTTTGTCTTCTTTTAAGTCGGGCTTTATGATCGAATTGGTTTTCTTACCTCCATTCCTTCGATTCCAGCATATTGTTCCTCCTGGAATTGTGAGGTCCTTGGGGGAGGGGTGGGGTCTCTTAACACAATTTTTTTATTTTCTCTTTACAGTAGCAGTTATAGCCAACATTTTTCAAGTAGCAGGCATTTTGACAATATTCACTTAATATTTATTAAATAATCTGTTAAGTAAAAAGTACCATTCTCGGCCCTGGGAATATAGCAACAAACTGGATAGACCAGACTCGGGCTTTGAACTTAGTTAGTGGTGGGGAGGGAAGATATGGTAAATGAGGAAACATCCATTTTGCGTGTTTTCTCTCATTTAACCCTGGTGACTTATAAATAATAGTTAAGTATTTGAGTATGCCCATTTTGCAGAGGATGAAACAGGAACAGAAGAAACCCAGCAATCTAATGTAGTCTCAGAGCCCATCTTCTTCAACACCTGAAAGGGAGGCTTTATGACCTCTCTTTGTTTGAGACCCACTAAATGCTGGATTGAGGAAATGCAAAGTAGATGCTCCCAGCTGATGCCTCTTCATAGTCAAGTCTGCAGTTGCAGCTTTGGATAGTTTGATTCCCTTCTTCTTGGAGCTTATAACTAAAGAAAGGCAGACAGAGGTGACCTTTAGGTCTGACAAAGGTGCACCATCTCTAGAATGAAAGGACCTTTTATCTGAACTTAATTTTTTGGTGTCCAAACCTCTTTTATGCAGTTTTCAGTTTAAAATATGCCCCAAAGTACAATTTTTTGGCTCTATTATGTAACTAATAAGGGCATATTTTAATTTTATTTATTAATTTTTTTTGGTGTTTCTAAGACAATCCTATATTCCTAGGCAGTGTGCTTAGTATACATTTTCTTTTAATCTCAAATTATATAGTAAATTGCATTAAAATATTGGGATTTTTTTTTCAGTGAAGTTCTCATGGTACAGCTAGATTCAACATTGACCATCTGCTAAGCACCAGGCTCTGTGCTGATGTAGGGCTTATAAAAATGAATGCAAGAGCACACTCTTGCTTCTGGAAGCTTACCTATAGTCTAAACATTTGGCTAATGTTTTTAACTGAAGTGCTAGGCAGAGAGAATGTAGGAGCTCAGAGTCCCTAGGGGAAGTCATCTAGAGCAGTAGCCTTAAATGTTTTTAGTGTTCTGTCAATAAATAGGGTTGAGTATACACCCACATTATGTGAATATTTGTTTTAAATTACAGTTACAGTGTTGACTACTGTGTATTACGTACATTTTATAATGTGCAAAAGTAGACATTTTACAAAAGGCTGAGCTGAAACAACTATGCCTGGAAGTTCCAATATGGTCCCTCCATATTATTCACTCCAGGGGGTGAATAATAACTATGCCCCCTGGAGAGGAGACCATTGGTCTTATAATGAGACCTTCTCAACCCATTAGGTCTGTTGAAATTCAATTCTGGAGTTGTGCCTAGATTGAAATCTTGGGGTCCAATCCTTACTAGCTTTGAGACTGAGCAGGATATTTAACCTTTCTGGGCATTTTATTTTCCTCATCTATAAAACTGATATGATATGATGAGAATTCTTACTTCATTTGCAGTTTTATTGTGATGCTTGATAGTATATATACGTTAAGGTAATGTATATGGTAATACATACAAAATACTTATACAGTGTTTGACACACACTATTTTGGCCTCTGTGAGGATACAAAGCTGCTTTAAGATCTCAACAGTCTAGCAGGGACCTTGCACAGGTACATGGATAATAAATAAGTGCTTGAAGCAAAGGCTTTTGAGAATGCAGAGGAGGCATAAACTAATTGTTTTTGAGGATTCAAGTAAGGTTCAGGTAAGGAGGTGACATTTGAACCAGCCTTAGAAACCAGAGGGGCTTTTTCCAGGAGGAGGAAGGGTTGGTCTTGTTGGCTGAGGAAGGGAACAGTGGAAATTTGGAAGCTGTTGGGGCCTTGGTGAGTAGTTCTCCAGATCTGGGCCTGCAGGGAATGTGATTGAAGCGTCTATACTTTGTTAATAGGATAACAGTGAGTTCTGGCTGGAGTTGTGCCTGGCAGGGGCCAGATGGCTAGAAAACCTGTTCCAGAACTTTTCACAGTACCACAGCTCTTTCCTTTCTGGTGGCACTTAACTTATTCTGCCTTCTTAGTTATCTAAGAATATAACCCCCTAAATATTCTTGAGGGTTCTGATAGTAATTGCATTTTTGTGATTTTATTTTGCCTGGCAAGATAAGTAGAAAATTCATATGCACAGGGAAAGGCCTATATATTTTTGGACCTTCAAAGAATTCTGAACAATTACAAGTGGCATGATAAATGACAATAGTTACTAGTGAAAAACATGCTTACAAATATTTTATGGTAGATAGGACTAGGATTTGTGCATTACCATTTAAAAGGGGTGAGAATTGTCATGTTCAGTAACTCTTTCCTTATCTGGCACTTACCTATTAGGATAAAGAGATGCGAAAGTGCACCAGAAAGACTTCTCTCAGGTTGAATTAGGTGACTTCCATTTGCTTTTCTAGATCCGCTCTCCATCTTTTCCCACCCTGTCCTCTGCCTTGGGAGACTGACTTAATATTAATATGTGAGGATCTGTCAAATATTTATGCACTGTACACTGATACAGTGGGCTTCCTTTCCCTCTGAAGTTGTAGAATTTAATTACCCTGCTCCCTTTTTATGGGAGTTGTCTCTGGCTGGCTCTGTCCCTTTGTTGAAGATTGTTATTTCTCTAAAAGTGGTTCTTTCTACATGACTTGCTCCTTCTAGGTTTGGAAAGTTCTAATATTTCCTTTTTTCCTTGGGCTTAGAGGTACTCTCACTAGTTCCAGGGTACTGGAGCTGCACCTTGTGATTATTTTGTCCCCTGCTTGCCCACACCTTTCTTTATCATTCCCTCATTAAACCCTCCATGAATTATCCTTACTGAAATATGCTATCTTTCCTGCTGGGACCATGACTGATTGAAACCCATACCTTGTTTATAGGATGCCTCCTCAAACTTCCACTCAAAGCTTGTTATATTCTGCACATACTACAAACAAAGAAACTTTTCTCAGCCCAGTTTATAGAAGATTTAAAAGCAACAAATCAGATGGAGAGGAGAGGGGCTACCCCAGATAAGCAAGCATACTGACAGTGAGAGACAGTGTCTCATCCTCTTCTGTGGTTCTTACCTACTGTGCCACATTGATGTATTTAAGTCCTCTCCCCCCCAATACTACTGGGTAAGAAAAACAATGGGGTAAGATTAAAAGTATCATAATCTGTGACTATACAATCAAAACAAGTTAAATTGCAGTGAGTAATAGCCTGTCTAAAAAGGCAGAGATGTACACAATGCAAGTGGTTTGGCATAATGGAAGAAGGATCTGTAGGCAGACTTTGGGTTTGAGGCCCAGTTCTAGTAGAAAGTTATTCAGCCTCTGAGTCTCTGTTTGTTTACTCTATGAACAGGAATAATTCATGCCTGATAATAATAATGACTAATAATAAATGTTTATTTTGGGCCAGATAACATGCCAAACATTATACTCACCTTGTGCCTTTTAATTTTCCACTTTTTCAGTTAGGTATAAATTCTTATTTTACAAATTGGGAAATAGATTAAGATGTCATAGAGCTAATAAATAACCAAGCCTAGATAAAATCTAGATCTTTCTGACTACAGAGCCTGAGCTCTTAACACTAAGGCAGCTATTATTTGAAATGTGTTGGGCCATCAGTAAATGGGAAAATCGAATCTTTGTTCCAATACCATGTCACTGTGAAATTCCTACATTTTGAAAGGTCATTTAAGTTATCAGACTATGGCATTTATAAGGTGAAGGAACAGGGTTTATAGATATCTAAATATTACTGCACTCTAGAACTTTTCCTAGCTGTTTTTTCACTTTTGGGGAAGGATCTTTTTTCAGAATCTTTGTTGATTCATGTTTTATACCATCTCCCAAATCCGTCCCCTGTGGGCAGAGTTCAGTGAAGTGAGCTGAAGGCTTCAAGAGTAATATTGTTACAAAACCTTAATTGCTTAATTACCTGCTATCTGCGTATTAAGTTAGAATTGACATTTTAGTGAGTTTTTTAAGTTGATTAAAAAAATTTTTTTAGAGGGCGAGAGAGAGAGACATCGATTTGTTGTTCCACTCATTTATGTATTCAGTTGGTTGCTTCTTTTATGTGCTCTGAACAGAGAATCGAACCCACAGCTCTGGTATATCAGG